AGTCTCCCTTAAGTAGATAGAATATGGGGCATATGGCGATCTTACTATAACATACCCAAAGCCATATTCTATCTACTCAAGGGGGACATAACCGAATGACCCTAGGCATGATCTCCACACGTCCGTTAGGTACACAGGTGGTCCCCATCCAGTAGACAATTCTAGCCCATGTGAACCATAGTCTAAACTCCTAGCATCCCCCTTAATACCCGCTAGAGTAGTCCCCTGTAGAATCCCCTACATAAGCCCCCTTCAAGGACTTTAGAATATGGCTCAGGTAAAACCATTAAACTGACAGAATCCGAGGTCCTGCAAGGAGGAAGAGTAGTGTCCTGTGACGATGCCGAGCAGACAGAAGATCCTGCACAAAGCGCAGAACGTCAACATGTAGCCCTACAGAACCCTATATACATCCCTAGATAATCCTAAATAACCCTGTATACTACTCCTATGTATACCCCTAGATAGCCCTGTATAACCCTACAAAATCCCTATACAACGATGTACATCCTTATATAATCCGATATAACCCTAGATAACCCTCTACTACCCCACTCAACCCGATTGTTCATGGAGGACTGGCAAGAGTTGATATTTCAACAACTCTGTAATTCTTGCAAGTGCAGCACTTCCTTGAGCACATGGTGTCTGAGGTGATGCATGATATCCTCCATCGAGCTCGCAGCAACACAGCTACAAGAAGTGTGTCCATGCCAACAAAGGAACAAGTTGAATCTTCTTCATTTGATGCGAAGATGCACCCCCCATCATGAAGCAAGGTAAATACGTTCGCTTTACGTAAGCTCCGTCCAAACCTAGAATACCTTAAGCCTGAAAACTATACCTCCCATCTGGCAGCTGACTGTAGTCCCACCTGATTCTCCAGGCAAAAACACTCTTCGCACCTGGCCACCGAGCTCATTAGACCATATCTGGAGTTTCTTCAAAAGTGTATTTCTGTGAGAATGATGTAGGGTTGACAGAATTGCGTAGGGTTTGATTTGTGAGCTTGGGCATTATGAATCTGTCAAACCAGAATTTCGTTTTGGGTGGTTAAAAAGGCTTTGTCGGCCGTGCTGACAGTTGGACTAAGAGCATCATACCTCCAAGCCCCAGATGTTATTTTCTCTCACACTTCCAACCTGCGACCCACCTTTTGGCTGACGTGACATCAGCCTAGCCTCACTAAGGGCTTGGGTCAGAAATGAATAGGAGTTTCCTACGGCTCTTTTGCCTTTTGAGGGTCCCTACAGTAGGGATTGTTGTGCCTTGGCGTCTATGTTAGGCTCCCCCTATTGCAGGAAAACTGCTACATTGACTTCTGGGGCTCCCGGTTTAGCATGTGGACTGACGACACGCAAGGGAAAGAAACTCTTGTGGAGACTTCTTTGTAAAGGGTTTAGGGTTTAGCATTTAGGGGTGACCTTGAACATGTGAGTAGTGCTTTTCTGGTGGTAAGATTATATTCCTTATATAAAATACTATACCCCAAAGGAGGATACAATCTTACTCTATATTGGGTACCATAGTATCCCCAAACAAAATACTACTCATGTGAACTCTTCAGAGACCCCAGAAGACCCGCAGGACACCTACCCGGCTGCAGAAAAGGAGAACACCAAAAGCCAGAAACCCAAATCCTTGGACTATTTTCCTAATATGGGCCCTCAATCTGTGGAGGAGTCATACACTTGCTACATGCCCTATAATGCCCGAGGAACCCTTTAGGGGCCCGTGGTGGGGACCTTCTACGATGCACAAACCTTATGTGGCCCACATCGCATGTCTCAATACTGAATGCCCTCGAATCCAATATGATACCTATACCCTCCAGACACAAAGTCCTCGGCTCGCAAGCCCCAAAAACTGGCCCAACAGTTTAGGAACCCCGCGCCGCGTCAACTTCGGTATTCCTTAACACCCTTAGCCCTTAAACCTTAGATCCTAAACCCGAAACCCTTAGCCTCCAAAACCTAAACCTTCAACCCCTAACACCTTGGACTCCAAAGCTCCCTGGGAGCTGATTTGCGCAAGCCCTTGCTGCAGCCTCTCCAGCAGCTGCGTCAGCTGATCCTGAAGTCAGTCCCCAACAGTGTTTCAGGGTGCTGGGGTTCAGCGTTCAGGGCTTGGGGTCTACTTGCTGGGTCTTCGTAAGGAATAAGAGAATAGAATCCCTATATGATACATTCCCATATTCCCTACTAAGACCCCGTAAGTCTATGCTTTCTAGGGTTCAGAGCCTACAAAACCGGGATCTGAAGACAGAAACCAAGCCTGGGCTTAGCAGGTTTATACAAGGAAACACGTATTCCCTGTGACTGTGATGGGCGTGATTTTGGTTGGTGATTGAAGCAATTCTACCAGGCTATGGGTTGCCGCATGTTTAACCGAAGAGCCTGCTTGATTAGACCAATTTGAGCTGTCTGCAGCTTATATAACAAATGAAGGTGCAGTGACTAAAGCAAAAGGGGTCCATTTCGAACATCCGTGGGCTTCCCAGTCAGCAAGCATTGCCAAAAGCAGTCTTTTCTTGCTCGCCTGGGTCATCTGCAAGAAGCTGAGAGAACTGTTCTCCACAACCTCAGAAGAACATGGCACAGCTTGTTTGGACAGGACGGGTCGTCAAACTCACAAGACAAAGGTGCATGGAAGGTGCACAGAAAAAAACACAGAGCATGCGCCACTCCCTATCCTCAGTTCTCCCACAAGCATTTGATTGCAAATGCTCTCATGGCACTTCATGTGAGATTTCCGTTCGCACACATGGGCATCTGAGGAAGAAGCTATCCTTGCATAGCCCGGCGATACAGTAACAGTGCCTGGGCAATGAGTGAGATGAAGTCTTTGAATCTTTGAAGCATGGGGATGTGCAGGATGGTGAGTAGGTTGAGTAGGGTTTTAGGATCCATCCTTCAGCAACTTGTAAGCGAGAGGCTCAGAGTTCCTTTTTAAATGGCTGTTCTACAGAAAAGCTCGTTTTGCGCTTACCTTTGCAACCTAGGTGGGCATGACAGGTATGCTTCCTTCAGCTGAACTTACGTGCGACACGGAGGGAGAGAGAGAAAGAGACAGAGAGCAAAACTACACTCAATTGCCGAAGAAAGATGGGAGCCTTCATGGTTCTTCCTTCTCCTGTGCTTATCTTGCGTCCTCGTGCTCTTTACTTGTGGCCTCCTGTCAAAGTATTTCAATGAAGGCGTGTTTTCAGTGAGAAAGCCACAAACAGCGGACAGATACGATGTAGGAGCCACACAAGCGTGACCTTAAGCGGTGCATCCTGAGGTCTCTAGATCCTGACGTGGTTTCCAAGTGAGCCATAGTCTAAAATCCTAGCATGCCCCTCAATAACCCCTATAGTTAATAGTCCCCTATATAATCCCGTTTAAGAAGTTTAGATTATAGCTGAAGTGGAGACCAAGCCAAGGTAACAGTCCCGGTGCTTGAGGAGTTGCTAGAACTCACCCTTAACCCTACATCAGGGCGTGCAACTTTTCCACGCTGCAATACAGCGGCCACTGAATGCTCCCTTCTGCACAGCCTGCTACCTTCGACCACTAACGCGCATTACCATACTTCCAAACATGCATCCAAACAATCACGCTCAAAACGAGAGGAATCATGCAGTAGCAAGGGTTAGTAGCTTAGCGACGGCTCTGCAACAGAAACTTGGAAAGAAGCAAGTTGTCCTGCGGCTGTTCAGCTGCACAGGGAGAGGAAGAAACGGGTACACCAAGGACAGGCTTCGAGTGGCTTTGAGAGGCTCCCATGCTGGAAGCCAGACTCCTAATCCCTAACCTTGGGAGCCTATCTCATCTTCACGGAACCTTTTCATCATCCCTAAGTATAGCCCACAGAAATCCACACACATTTTCCCTGTATTCTCCCCTGCAGTTATTCAGCCGGACCAAAAGACCCCAAGAGCCGAGCCCCTAAGTTTGTCACGGAAGAGGCTGCCTGCAAAACAGACATGTTCGAAATCAGTGCGTCAGGGCTTCGGATTTGGGATCGAGGGTTTGAAGTTTGGGGCTTCAAGATTTGGAGTGTCGGCTTTGGGTTTAGGGCATAGGGCTTGTGATTTAGGGGCCAGGGTTGGATACAGGTGCGCTTACGAATGGGCAGAGGTCCCGCTTTGAGGGAATGCCCTGGAAAGCTAAGAAAACATGCATTCAAGTTCCTGATGATAAACTTCGCACGTCCGCTAGTATAAGTACTGCATCGATGAGAGAGGAAATGTGCATTTGGGGAGCTCCAAGTAGCTGCCAGTCATTGTGGTAGGGGCGCGAAAGTTTGGTCAAGGCTCGGGAATCCAGGTGGCTGGGTATGTGCAGCTGGATAACGGGTCTAGATCAAGCCGCTGTCATGTTCTGAAAAGGTCACCAGGCAAAACCCCATATAACCCCGAAATATCCCTAATCCCTACATACCCCTATGTAATTCCTGCATATGCCTGTATGAGCAACAAGAAACTCCAACCTGCAACCTTGACCTTGCTAAGGACAGCTGCCTGAAGCTTCAGCCCAACAAAGATCCCAACCCGATTCCGACGATCCAAGCCTTCTTGCTGCAAGGCTCTTTGCACGGCATCCTTCCACACAGCAGCAATAACAACTGCAGAAAATTGGAAACCTCATTTTGCTGCCGCTGCCGAGGTAGGAGGAGCTGTGGTAGTCGTCATGCCTGTTGCTGTTGCTCCGCTTCCCTTATAGCCACATGTGTCCAAAAATGTCTGAAAGCACTGAAGTCCGAACTCAAGGACATAATTTCGGTCCTTGCTGGCATAGAGGTATAGGCAGCAATGCCCTGAAGCCTCAGGGCAGAAGCATAGCGCTTAAGCCATTGAAGAAATAGGAATATTTATAAGCCTGAAAATTCTTGAATACTTTAGTGCTGAACTCGAAGGCTATTTCGTGAACAAACGCAATCCCGGGGATTGCATCCCGATTAATTTCATGCATGCGACATTCAGCAAGCTAACACGTGATCACACGTGGGGCGCGGACGGCATAGATTTCCAAGGCCAGGTCGCCACGCGTGCTCTGCACCAGCCCTGCGCAGGCAGCCTCCCCGAAGCTTTCGCCTTCAAATAAGACGCTGGCTTGGAGGCTTCGGACTCAGATTTCAAGGTTTTGGGTTGAGGGTGCAAGGTATAGGATAATTCTCATGATGCTACCCCATTAGGCCACTTGCGCCACTTGTGTGCCCATAGCAGTGGGGAAATGCTCAAAGGGATTCGTTGCTGCAGGGGCTGGTGGGCGGACTAGCAACCTTAGCTTCCACCGAGCAAAACTAGCAATTGGATAACGGAGGACGGGATGATGGTTTGCTGTTTTCGAGGGGCCTGATAAGGGAGGCTCTCCAAAAGTAGATACTCCAGAACAATGAGCACATAATCACCCTTGTAATCCCAGTGTTTCTTATATATAGGTCCCCAAGACTATCCTCTCTTTGCCAAACCCCTGTGAAGGTTTGGAGTGCTCAGGTGCCCGCCCCGCCTTCTGAAAGCTCGCGAAGAACAGAGCCATCCAGCTGAACAGATGCCCTACCTGCAACACGGAGCCAGCAGAGGAGTGTAAGGTTCAGGGTAAAATCGCGGGTGGCCAGTTTGCATGCGCCTATGCTAGGAATCCTACCCTTATAGGAGCTTGACGGACATATGAACCATGATTTGAGTTCGTACAAATACGGCCAGAACATGTTCAGGTGGGAGAGTCAGGCCCCCAATTTAAGCATGGCACCTCTAAACCCTGTATGGGTTTCAAAAAATTAGGGCCCTTTCTGGAGGCACCCAGAAGGATTGCATACAGTTCATGGCGGCTATACTGTACGCCATCCCGCTATTTACAGACCAAAGGCTCTAAGTCCGAACTTACGGGCACTGAACGGAAAGCTTCGAAGTCAGTCCTTGCAGAACCACGAGGAAGAGCTCTTCCGACTTGCCCTTGATAAGTTCATCCTTTCTGACCGCCCCAACCTCACGCAATCTATCATTGTTCCTCATTGGATTGATATGTGGGTTTGGATGTCTATTTAGAGATATATATATATATACACATATGTACATACGTATATATATATATATGTATATGTATATGTTGTGGAGCCATGTTTTAGACATATTTCTAAGTGAGATTATTGGGTCTAAGTGTAAGAACAATGAGACATCATATCTAATAATGACCCAGGGTCCCTTCCCGCAACTCAAAACAAAAGCATCCCCGAAGAATAGATGTTCCCGATCAGGTGCCATGAGATCGGAGGAAGATGAGCCACAGCCCAAACCCCCTAAAGGGGGGACATACAAGGTACCACACATGGGAGTAGCATAGGGCTTATAAAGGGGGGTACTAGGAGTTTAGAGTATAGCTCAATGTTAATTCTTACAAGAGCGCGGGTGCTTCATTCTTAGGGGGCGGGCGTTTGCCATCTCAAGAGAATGCCACGTTCCACAGCATTGCCATTCGGACAGTCTTTTGATCATACACTTAACCCTGACCTACCCCAAACCGCGAGACTCGAAATCCTACACCCTCAATCCAAAACTATAACCCTAAGCCCAACATCCTAAACGGCACGGGATGAGGTGGTTCTCCACCTGGCTCTCCACATATACGCCTAGAAGCATGTTGCCCTTCTCAGGGTTCAGGGTTTCGGGTTGCCCGATGTTCGAAAGAGAGCCGTGGGATTTCCAAGTTTGGAGTACATGGGCTTCAAAGTTAGCACATGAAGGTCGTGAGCTTGAAGGCGGTGGAAGAAAACAAGTCTGCAAAGCTGGGCGTCACGTCTTAAGGCATCAAAGGAAACTCAAAGGCTTCCAGGAGTTAGTTGAATACCCTGTCAAAATCTGATCTCCTAGCAGTGACAAGAACTGCTGAGGTACGAACTGCAGCCGTAAATCTGATACTGACGAAATCGAGCGGTATTCCAATAGCAACCGTCGCAACGAATCCTAAACCCTAAAGTCCGCCTGAAGCGATCCAAGCAGAAGCTGAATAAAGCCTCCGCTGCGTAAGAGATAAGGACTTTGGGTCTAGCGCGACGAGAATACAAGGAAGGTGGATGCTTGTGATATTGGAGGAAGAAGTCTGTTCTCACCTGTACTAGCTGAAATCTTCATTGGCCAATTGTCAAAACGTCGCACTGGATCTGTGGCATTGGGGACTATTGTGGTCGTTGTGGCGATGGTAGTGGGAGCGGCCATGATGGTAGCGACGGCATCGGTGGGCAGTGGCGGTGGCGGCGGCTGTGGTGGTGATTGTGGCAGTTTCAGGGACGGCGGCGCTGGCGGCGGCAGCAGTGGAAACCGCAAATGAGCACAGCGGCAGTGGTGCCGAGAATTGGGGACAAGTAGAACGGCCGGCGACCACATCATGCAGCCCGAGCAGCTACTGACAAAGCAATACAGCCAGACCTAGGCAAGATAAATGCGGAGCCTGACTAGTGGCTACGGCAAGCATGACAATAAGACTAATGACAGCACAATTTTCTGCAGAAGAAACAAGCGCAGCTTGATGCACCTTCTCCCAGGGCCGGCAAAAGAGGGATCTCTTGTAGGATCTCCTGACAACGAGATAGGGAAAATCTCCACGGCGTCAATCAAAGGATTATGATTATATTATGTTGGCGGCATATCTAAGCACTGATGATAATAGGGCAGTTGCAGATACAGCAAACAGCCCAAAAAAGTCAGGACATGTTAGGACGGCTTCTAATCCACCGACCATTCAGCAGAGGCAGCTGGAACTCTCCTTGTCCGTGATTTCCGCAAGATCCTGCATGCATGAGGCTGTAAGGTTACTTGTTGTCTGCGACACGCGCCGCGGACTGCATTGCAGCTGGAGAACAGTAGGTCAAGCTGACTGTCTCATTTTTGGAGTTCCATCTAGTTTTTGGACTTCCTTCCTGCATGCCTAGGCGATCTAAGCCGTGACACCTACCAGCATGGCGCTCCTCAGCTGAGTCCTCTTGCCCCTTCGACAAAGGGCTCTGAACGATTGCTAGACACAAATCTAGGATACTATAGTAGTTTCCATGTTCTTTTCCATCATCGCTATATAACCCCAGTATACTGTAGTAGTTTCCGTTCTGTTTTCCATTATCCCTATATAACCCGAATGTACTATAGTAGTTTCCACGTTCTTTTCCATCATCCCTATATAACCCCAATATACTATAGTAGACTGGATTGACAACAGGCTCTTTCCCTTGCAGATGGAAGCATTCCCGTCCTCTCGCATCATGCCTGCAACAACCCCAAGGAGGCGCCTTGGATGTTGTGGACAGGAAAACACCCTTGAAGCCCGCGTAACCTTCCCGGAATCTCTAAACCAAACACTAGTTCCTTGAACAACCCTACAGCCTATCCTCTACTATAGGTAGAAGCACTGCTTTACCAGCTCAATGGTCTACTTTAGCCATGATCTAACTTGACACACATCTGTCGTATTCCAACAACTTGACATGCGAAATACTGAAGATGCTGCAATTTGCACTGTCTCCGAAGGCATCTAATCCATTTTTCAGGTTTGAATGCATGCTTCGAAGCTCCAAACCCTAAACTCCCACCTCAACCTCGACCCCCCAAGCTGAGCACTTCTTCTCATCTGCGAAATTCATCAGGAGCGTTTCCAGGTCCTGAGTGTCCACATTGCATCTTATTTCAAGTATTCGTACTAAAACTAACGGTCTAGGATTTGGTGCTGGTACAATCCTTTTTGAGGTATCATTGCTGCCACTCTGATAGCAGTGAAGAATTCTAGCTAGAGTACTAACATCTGCGCAGCAACTGCAGGCAGCAAAGGCTCGTGGCAGTTCAGGTACATGAGGTCGCACATCCGTTCCGCCTCCATCGGTCGAAAACGGAAGTCGGGTGGATCGAGTACAAGGATTCTGTCACAGTAAACCCTCAAGAAACCCTACCACGCAAGGGACCCTACACCCTAAACTAAACCCTAAACCCTGAATGGGAGCAAAGGCAAAGGACTTCAGGGCTCTGAATCCAGGCCTGAGCCCGGAACCCTAAACCTCTAAACTCCAGGGCTCAGGGTTTAGGGTGACTCTAAACCCTCAACCCTAATCCCTCAACCTTAGACTCTGAACTGTTTGCCCCTACACGCACATTCCGCGACTCTGGGTCCTGTTTGGCATCCTCAGGAGAGGGCGCAGCTTTCCTAGAACTGGATAAGTCTTGTTCAAGCTGAATGCTTCCTGTTGCAGCTGTTGCGCAGGACTTTAAGAGTGGGTAGTTACTATAGTAGTTTCCATTTTTCCATTCTCCCTATATATGTAACCCCGATATACTATAGTAGTAGTAGTAGTAGTAGTAATAATAATAATAGTAATAATAGTAATAATAGTAGTAGTAGTAGTAGAAGAAGCCTTGGAGGCTTGGGTTTGGCTTCCAGAAGTCCAATGCTTTTTGGCTGGGCTTTGACGCGGTGTGAAAATTCGTTGCACACGCAGGGTCCAAAGAAAATGGCAGCTCAAGAAGCTGACAAGAACTCTAATTCCTCAACATCAGACCTGCGTTGCCCATATTGAGTCTTATCCACTTGGATTGAGAAAACCCTTCAGACACCTCATCCAAACTTGTAATATGACCCCTTCTAACCCTTAAAAGTGACCCCAAAACCACCTTGATGGTGAAGGACTGGATCGATGTCAAGCCAAGAACCGCCCTCTCACCAAAGGCAGATCCCTGTTGGAGTTCCCCCAACTTTGTGCCATGCTTCTCCACCTTGTAGGCTTGTCAAGGAAGGAATGTAGGACGCGCTTTACAAAGCACAGGGATCGTAAGAGAGCTGGAGTTTAGATTGGAGACATGTAATGGGTGATGTAAAGAAAGGTTCTCTGGAAAATTTGATCCTACCTGGGCTTCACGGTTTAACTACTTATCATGGTGATTATGATGACAAGGATGATGATGACGACAATGGGCAATTGCACCCTGGCGGCAGCCAAAGGCATTGACCAAGAGAAAGGGGGCAAAGGAAGGAAGTGAATTGGGAATGACGAAAATGAACTTTTCATGAAGCTGCAAGTGGTGTGCTTGGCTTAGGATTTGCAAGACTTCCCCTCACTGGCAAGTTACAAGTCGGGCCTTCCGATTTAAATCAATATGCCGGACCTTCCCAAAACAAAAACCGTCTTTCATCCTGTTCTGCCAGGCGTTGACAGCTTGCCAACGAGCCAAAAGGTTCGTGCGAGCGCAGGACCTACATTTGGCACTGGCATACCCGACAAAGGACCCCGTGGACGGACCTTCGCTAAGAATCCCCTGTCAGCTCCTTTGGCATTCCTGGGTTCCTATATTTGCATTTCAAACATCCCTATCAGATTCGCTGCATCATCTTACGTAGTCCTCATGTACCTGCACATTACCATGGACATGCTATGGCGCCGAGCTGCAGATGCCTCACCCTGTGCGATGGCGTACATCTCCTCCGGCTCGATACGAAAAAGAGCTAGGGGTGGAATTTTCTGTCAACTCGTCGTTGCCTGTTGGATGGCCCGGAGATACGCAAACCCACTGTTCCCTCCCCCTACAGTCCAGAGCATATCAAGTTTTGCACAGTGCGGAAGACTCCGTCAAACTGTTGCCATTCATTGCATTTGGGCTGTCTGCCATGCCTCAAAACCGCTGATGAACCCCGCAAACCCGATGGACTCTACAAACATACCCAAAATCACCCACAGCATTACAAATTGTAAGGACCTCTGTAAACCCAAACTGCCCCATAGACCGTTTGACAGACCCTACATTCTGAACCCTAAGCCATACACCCTAACCGCCCCCCAAAACTGGTCGGACGGTTCCTGGCTCTCAGCTCCCTCTTCCACAATGATCTGCCCGGGGAAGCAGATCTTCCGCTGCAGCAACTTGCCTCAGAGTACATGGGCCATAAATAGGGGGACCTCAAGACCTAATTCTGTAAGTGCCCGCTCCGCCGCCTCACCCACAACTTGATCAAAAAAAGAGGAAGAGGAAGCTTCCCAACCAGAAAAGTCAACAAGAATGAACATCGCAACAGGGCCTGTGGCTTCGAGGTCTTTAGATCGGGTGAATGTGGGCTCTTTGGGTGGGTTACCAACTGCAAAACCCTTCGACATGGGAGTGTGGATCGGATGAATGACCAAGTTCTACTTGAACTGCGGTCATTCGGTTCATTGCAGACGGGTGATAGCAGGCCCCAGCTTTTGAGAACGCGTCATGGAGCATTCCATTACTTCTCCGGGGGCACTGCACACCTCCTCCATGAAGGCAAAACTGCAGTCCTTGAAGAGGGCCTCGTTGCACGGGAGGAGGGTGAGCATTCTGACACTAGGTTTACTGAACATAAAGAAAGTAGGTCACAGCAAAGCAGGCTTGCAAAGCCTCATACACCGACATGTAAGAGTCGAAGTCTAGATTCTGAATGAGAGCCATGTCACTGGCCAACAAGACCATCATGAGGCCTGGACCCCTGCATACTTCAACCATGATCTTGTAGTTTCCCAAAATAGAGGACCCAAAATACTAATAAGGTTTCTTCTGGGGACCCCAGAAGTCCCACAATCTTAGGAAACCCTAAACCCTAAGCTCTATATCCTAGAGCCTAAATATCCCTGTAGAACCCCTCTATCCCC